CATTTTTCTGAGTGTCAAACTGTGACAACATGCCGCTGTTTGTCACCCCCAACTCAGGGCACATATTTTCTCTAGAACATAAGTTGTGGAAGCTTTAGACCTTTCTTTATTGCAACCTTGCTTCACGTCTTTCTCAGGCAGCAGTTTAATTATCTAGTTTTGAAATCACATCCAACCTTCGTTTTCAAGTTTCAAGCACTTATAAAACAGTGCAAACCCCGACACACAATACATCAACGTGAGCTCGTGCCTTTCAAGGAGAAGAATTTCCTGGTTAAGGGGGAAATTGTGCAGGTGGCTTTATTCTAAGTCTGGGCCTTCTTTACTCAGTTTGCTGTGTTCTACATTCACTGCGTGGAACTTGTACTGGTCGCTGGGAGCCAGTTTGTTCCAGGCTCTGGGTGATTCTTTCCCACAGACAACTGGATTGAACACTGCCAGGCGCAAGACAAATAGCGCTGCCCCCGTACCTCTGGCTCCAATAAAAACAAAGAGGAAGATCAAAGTTGAATGCTTCTTGGCCTGAGGACCTGACGGAGCATGGTTGCAGCAGAGAACTCGGAAGCAGAGAAAAACAAAAGCGCACAGGGGACAGACAGTGAGCACCTTAGATGAGCGGATTTCCAAAATATCCCACGACCCCAGGCTCCGAGGGCACCCTGCGTCAGTAGGGCCCGGATGTGGCTGTCCATAACAGTGCCTGCTGGACCGAGCCCCTCACGCGTCCGCTATAACCTGACCATATCGTCAGCATTCCACTCCAAGGTAAACTTCCTTATTTCTGTACAATGTATAGTCCTGAGGGGCATTTTTTTTGCGTCAAAACTGAGACATCTGTATTGACTACACAGGCACTTTCTCAGGAGGCCACGCGTTGTGAGATGGAGGGTCCTACAGACCTAAGACCCAGGAGGCCTTGCGGGCAGACACACAGCGGTCCTCTAGCTGAGCACCAGCGGCTGCTGGGGGAACGGGGCGCTGGGAGCGCTATGGTAGGCCTAGGCTGCTGCTGAGAAAAGGGACCCTGCACATTGATGGACTTTTGTTGAACGTTTTTTTTTTTTAAATATATTTTTATTGATTTTTTACAGAGTGGAAGAGAGAGGGATAGAGAGAAATATCGATGAGAGAGAATCACATAGATCAGCTGCCTCTTGCACACCCCCTACTGGGGATATGCCTGCAACCAAGGTACATGCCCTTGCCTGGAATTGAACCTGGGACCTTTCAGTCCGCTTGCCAACGCTCTATCCACTGAGCCAAACCAGTTTCGGCTTGTTGAACATTCATCTTTTTAAATTTTTTACTTATTGATTTGAGAGAGAGAGAGAGAAAGGGAAAGAAAGTGAAACATCAATTTGTCATTCCACTTGTTTAGGCATTCATTATGTGGACGAAAAGGGCCACATGCTGACCTGACAAGCTCAGAGGAGGCCTGCATGGCAGACTTGCAAACTCAGAGACCTAAAGTAACCACAAAGGATGGTCTGGCATTAAACTTCAACTAAAAGCAGTTATGGTGGGCAGTTACGTCCTAGGCTTGTCTTCACTGACAAGGTCAACTTTTACCTTAACTGAGCCTATTTGTCTTTTTGCATCTATAATAACATACCCATTGAAATGTCTGGGTAACTTGTAACTTCCATTTGAAACAGGAATTTTAGGGGGACTTAGGCAGGCTTAGGGATTTTTTTTTAGAATTGGGGTCCATGGGGAAAGCCCAGGGCTGCAAACTGGGAGAAGGCACATCTCCATAACACAAGGAAGCTGGGTGCAGTTACTTTTCCATAAGACAAGTAGGCCGCAAGAGGTATATTTCCATCAGACAAAGAAGTAGCCAAAAAAGGTCCTATTTACAAAATAGAAGGAAAAGCCCTTCTTCAGAAGGAAAGGAAGGGAGGAGTGGGGAGAACCTCACCTGTGCCATGTGAGGTTCAACCTTAGAGCCCAGGAGTTCCTATAGTAACCAACTTGAAGGAGAATAGTGGCCAAGCAGAGGGAATATCAAGGGATCAGGAGGACTCCAGTGGGAATTTTCCCCTTCCCTACTTGGGAATCCGTCCTGTGGGACTTCCCCCCTCCCTACGTGGGAGTCTGTACTTGTTTTTTTGTTTGTTTGTTTGCTTGTTTTTGTTTTTTGTTTTTTTTAATAAGTAAATTTCCATCTTTGCTAAACCACTTTCTGTCTGTGGATTCATCCTTTGATTCCAGTGGATAAAGAATCTGGGTTCCAGTCCAAAAATTCGGTATTACCTTTTTCTGGAGCCCCTGGGGTACAACCAAATGTGGGCACCAGGACAGATACCACACATTCCTTCATTATCATGTTAATTGTTCCTGCATCCACCTAAGTACAGTATGTGTCCACCGTTTTACTTTTTATCCAATCCCAGGGTTCCCTCTCCCTGCTCCTCTCTTTGCTCTATCCCACCTCCTTAATCCCATCACCAATGAATTTCATGTAACCCACCTACGTCCCTCCTTTGATTGCAATGTATAAATACAAATGTAACCTGCCATTCTCTGGAGTATTATCTCAATTCGTTGAGGTTCTGCTTTCCAGCATATGTCAACAGTTTTGGCTCAAACACACAAAAATTCTTTACAGGTTTCAATGTTTTGTTTTGTCTTTTTGTTTGTTTGCTGTCTTTTTACATTAACAATTTGTTGATTCTTACAAGTGCCCTGAACTTGGATAGAACCATTAACCTTAGCATATTGGGACCATGCATACTCTGATGGAGTGATCCATCTGGCCAGGGCCAAACATCTTTTATCTTTTAGTGGCATTCCTTATTAGTTGTCCCTCTCCCAATGAGGAGAGTAATTTTCTTCCTTCTTCTCTTTTATCTGACCTATTTACACATTGCATTTTTAGTAGGCCAAGTGTTATGGATACAAAGGTAAATAAGATATAATCTGTCTCCAAAGATCCCATGCAGATATATGGACTTTCTTGTATTTGGATTTCTTTTTCCTGCAAACTTGCTGTGTTCTTTTCTTTAGTTGTTTAAAATATGTTTTTATTGATTTCAGAGAGGAAGGGAGAGGGAGATAGAAGCATCAATAACAAAGGAGAATCATTGATTGGGTGCCTCCTGCACGCCCCCTACTGGCATTGAGTCCGCACCCTGGGCTTGTGCCCTTGACTAAAATCAAACCTGGGACCCTTTAGTCAGCAAGCCAAGGATCTATCCACTGAGCCCATCAACTATGGCTTTTTTCCCCTCCCTGTTCCTTGTGAATCATTGATTTTTCTTCTCATTATGGCATTCTAAGTTGAGTTTTACTGTTAATAATATAATGGAAAGAAATAATTTGATATGTATGTTGATGTCATTTAACTATTAAGTCTTAACGTCTATGACACAACTGAGATCCTAAAAGAAAAATGAAAGGATGGGGTTATTAGGCAAATAATCACCACATAGCCAATCTATGCATAATGGTGCATGCACTTACAGGACATTCTCTTAAGTTCTCACAATATTTTATTATTATTTCAAGTATACTGCAATTTCTATAGTCATTCGTTTAGCCCACAGTAGATTAAAAATAAATCACATAACAAGGGAAAGAATTGCTATTGATATAGATACGTTGAAGGCTACAATCACTATTAGTTGGCAGAATAAGTACAAGAAAGAAAAGAAAATTAAAAAATGGAAATGAAAATTCACAGCAGTTCGAGGTAATCAGTTAAGCTGAACAACCCTATATATTCCACTGGAAATATGGCAAACAGCTCACAAATCTCTGCCATCTGAGAATTTCTAACCTAGTATTTGAAGGGAATTGAATGAAGGGGACACTATTTACTGAGTACCTATTACAGGGTTCACAAAAGTAGGTTTACAGTGGTGAGTATACAAAACACCGAGTTTATTCTTGCATTATTATTTATTAATTATTGTATTATTTTCCATATGAACAACTGTATACCTACTTTTGCCTACCCTGTATATAGCTTGAAAGCTCTTTAGGACATCAGTGTAAATATACAGATATTCATAGCTTTGATCCTCAGTTACAAAGAAAAACTAAATTTTGCTCTGCAGTCTGTTTTCAGAAGACAGCAGGGATTCCTGGCCAGTGTGGTTCAGTGGCTGAGTGTCAATCTATGAACCAGGAGGTCACGGTTCCATTCCTGGTCAGGGCAGATGCCTGGGTTGCAGGATTGATCCCTACCTATGTAGGAGGCAGCCAATCAGTGATTCTCATCATTGATGTTTTTAGCTCTCTTGTCCTCTCCTCTCTCTGAAATCAGTAAAAATATATTGCCCTGGCTGGTTTGGCTCAGTGGACAGAGCACCAGCCTGCAGACTGAAGGGTCCCTGGTTTGATTCCGGTCAAGGGCACATGTCCATGTTGGGAGCTCAATCCCCAGTGGGAGGTGTGCAGGAGGCAGCCAATCAATGATTCTCATCATTGATAATTCTATCTCTCTCTCCATCTCCCTTCCTTGTTGAAATCAATAATATATATATGTGTGTATATATATATATATATATTATTATTATTATTATAATTGTAAATAAATATTTCCAGATGCTTCATTTACTTCTGGCTATGTCTCTTTCTATTTTCTATTTCTGAAGTTTACTTCTCTAAATAAATAAATAAATAAATAAATAGAGTTTTTTTGTTTGCTTTGTTTTTTGTTTTTTTAGAAGAAGACAGCAGGGCTATACAACCTAATTTTAGAACCTTAGACACTCTTACATATGAATAGGTTAGGTTTGAAAAACAGAGATATTCGCAAGTCTAGAGTAAGTTAAAGAGTGTACCTTCCTAGGCCACACTGCAAAACAGAAAGGCAAACCAGTTCTTGGCAGCTTTAGAACCAAGTTTACTCTTCTTTTTCTGATATAAGTTGTAAAGTGGTACCTCTCAAACTTCAGTGTGCATGTGAGTCACTTGAGGGTCATGTTAAAATGCAGATTCTAGTTTGGTAGGATTCAGAAGTTTACCAAAACTACATTTCTTTTTGTTTTTCCTTTTTATATATATAATGTTTCACAAATTTGCATGTCATCCTTGCACAGGGACCATGCTAATCTCTGTATCGTTCCAATTTTAGTATATGTGCTGCTGAAGCGAGCACAGATTCTGTGTTTCTGACAAGCTCCCAGATGATGCTGATGGACCAAACTCTGCTGTAAGAAGGGTCCCAAGGACATAATTTTTATTTATTTATGAAAGTCTATTGAGAAAGACATGTCCCTTATTTTTCCCCCCAAATTTTATTTTTATTAAAATATAGTTGGTATACAGTATTATATTGGTTTGAGGTATACAACAAAGTGATTCGGCATTTGTATATTCTATGAGGTGATTGCCACACTAAATCTAGTAACATTCCACTAGTCACCATTGCAATGGCGTCACCACACGTCATGCGATCACTGGAAAACACTACATTAGGGAGTGAATGAGAATAGAAAAGGTAAATAACATCTACTTTAAAAAATATGGTGTGTGTTTTTTTGTTTTGTGAGAGAGAATTATTGATGAGAGAGAATTATTGATCAGCTGCCTCCTGCATACCCCCTATTGGGTATATGTCTGTAATTAAGGTACATGACCTTGACCGGAACCAAACCTGGGAACCTTGAGTCCACAGGCCAACGCTCTATCTACTGAGCCAAACCAGCGAGGGCTGGCCTGTGCCTTCTTGATGATCATAAGGGAACCTCTTAGCAGCTGCAAGTATTCCCTAAACTCATGTTGATTAGCATTCCCCTGGCTGCTGCTGCACACCCCCTACTGGGGATATGCCCGCAACCAAGGTACATGTCCTTGACTGGAATCGAACCCAGGACCCTTCAGTCCCCAAGCTGACGCTCTATCCATTGAGCCAAACCGGTCTTGGCTCCCCTGGCTTCTTATAGAAGCAGTATTTTCTTAGAACTTTATTTATTTTTGTTGATTTGAGAGAGAGAGAGAGAGAGAGAGAGAGAGAGAGAGGGAGAGAGAAACATTGATTTTGTTGTTCCACTTATTTCTGCATTTATTAGTTGCTTCTTGTATGTGCCCTGACCAGGGACTGAACCCGCAACATTGGCATATCTGGGATGATGCAATAACCAAAGAGCTCCCCGGTCTGAACAACCCCAGTGGGTTAATGGGAGTTGGATATTGACATTGATCATCTTGACATGCAATCAAGTGTTTCCATTTTGTGAATTACTTTTTTTCTTACTAATTATTTGTTGTAGAAAAATGGTCTATTTGCTTGGGCTGCCATAATAAAATACCACAGACCGGGGGGCTTAAACAACATTTATTTCTCACAGCTCTCGTTACTGGAAATTCAGGATCAGGGTGCCAGCATAGTCAGGTCCTGGTGAGAGTTATCTTTCAGACAGCTGCCTTCTCACTGTGTCGTCAGAATTGCGCTTCACACCATTGATTTTTTTTCTGTGCAATTAAAGGTTATCCTCAACTAGTAAAAAAAAAAAAAAAAAAAAAAAAAAAAAAAGTTAAATAAATTCTCTGCAGTACAGAAACACCCCATTATTAGGATATTTTAACACACAGTTTCATAAAGTAAAAATAAACCTGCCATATGGAGATATGTCTTTAGGGACTTTAATATCCTTAAGGTCCTTAAAGACATATCCAACTATAATTCCAACTCAGGCCATTATGATGACCTGGTTCTTATTTAACAGGAAAGGAATGAAAGGGGTTAGCAGCCCTGACCGGTTTGGCTCAGTGGATAGAGTGTTGGCCTGTGGACTGAAGGGTCCCAGGTTCGATTCCCGTCAAGGGCATGTATCTTGGTTGCAGGCGCATCCCCAGTAGGAGATGTGCAGGAGGCAGCTGATCGATGTTTATAACTCTCCATCCCTCTCCCTTTCTCTCTGTAAAAAAATCAATATTATATATATATATATATATATATATATATATATATAGAGAGAGAGAGAGAGAGAGAGAGAGAGAGAGAGAGAGAGAGAATAGCAGATAATACAGACATGCCATTTATACCGCTTTGCCAAAAGCTTCCTTTAACATTCTCCAATTCTGTTCCCCACTAATAGACGAGGGAAGAGACTCGGCAAAGGCAGTTTAGACACATGCCCAGTAGAGTCTGAGTGATGTGGGAAGCTGCCTACCTGTCTGTCACACCTGAAAACAAGTTAGTGGCTAGGGTGGGATGTGGATTGGAGTTACTAGAACACAGTGTAGCTTCGGGTACAGAACATGTACACTGTGTTCTAGTAAAAAGCCTGCTCAGATTGGCCAGAGTCAGAGAGGCGGTCAATTAAAAAAAGAACTGGTGTTGCCTCGGAAGTGAGGGGTAGTCTTATACAGCGAATATAGGCCTAAACCTATGTTTTAACTAAAATTAGGGAGTCATCTTATACACCGGAAAATACGGTATTTCTTTTTGGACATTTTGTATTTTAGTAGCTGAGGAGGCAAAACTGAGAGCAATGCTTTTGTCCCAGCCCCACTACACCTGCCAAAGGACAGGAGAGGACAGCCAAGAATGGGCTGCCCGCGGGAGCCAGGACCTCACTCACGCATCGCCTACTGTAGTCAGTGTTCCATAAACTTTCCTAGGTAAGTATACTGATTAGTGTCCTAGGGCAAGGTGATCATACGTCCCGCTTTTGGGGGGACAGTCCCAATTTTGAACAATTTGTCCCGATTTTAAGACGCCACGGGACGCGGGACAAATTGTTCAAAATCGGGACTGTCCCGCCAAAAGCGGGACGTCTGGTCGCCTTATCCCAGGGCCGTCCAACAAAGTACCATAGAGCAGTTACTAACACAACAGAATGTATTCTCTCATGGCCTGGAGGCAGAAGGCCCAGACCAAGGTGTGGGCAGGCGGGCTCCCTCTGCGGGCGCTAGGGGAGGACCTGTCCGCCCTCGCCTAGGCTTCTGGTGGTTCCTTGGCTTGTGGCAGCACAGCCCCAGTCTTCCCACGGTGTCCCCCTGTGGTCGCTTCTCTGTGTCCAAAGTTTCCTTTTAAAAGGACTCTAGTCCTTGGAAGGGGACCACTCTACCCCCAGCATGACCTCATCTTAACTAATTACATCTGCATCCACCCTATTTCCAAATAAGGTCACATTCTGAAGTTCTAGGGTTAAGGCTTCAACATATGAGTTTGGGTGGTACCGTTTGAAAGCATGCAGTATGATTAGAATGATGAGACAGGAGAGGTGATTCGAGTCCAGAGAGGCTGAATAACACACTCAGTATTCCAGAGCCTCTCAGGGCTAGCATAGACTCTGAAACAGACTGGGCTTACGTGAAAGGTCAGAGCCTTCTGAAACCCTTTACTTTTCAAAACTCTAAACCTTGTCTCATAAGAAAAAGTCACAGGCAGGCATTGGGGCAGGATATGAGCTGAGTCCAATGCAGAAGAAACATCGCACTCCAGGACCTCGTGTCCTCTGAAGTGGGACCTCTGATGACAAAGGTGAAAGAATTGTGGTGCTCCAGCATCAGCCTACCAACAGAAGCCTTTCTAGTCTTATCTGGTCGTCAATCAAATGTGTCTCTTCTTTTTGGGAACCATCCTGTCCTACGGGATGTTGTTAACTGGAGTACTAAAATCACTGTGTGTGTCTGTGTTTTATTTGCCCCCCACTCTCTCCCTAGGAATTGGAACTATCTTAAGATGTTCCCACAGTCATAAGCATCATGAAATCTAGAAAGCTGCTGCTGCTGACCAAATGATGCCTCAACCAACTGAAAATTATTAATAATTCTTTAATAATTCATGTTCCCATTACTGAGAGAAACAAGAAATATGGTATCTAATCTTATTGCCATTTCTGAAAATTTTACCCCAGAAAACTTTTCTATACCCATAGCTAAAAGAAGTTAAGATTATATTAAGAATAATAGTTTGTTGGCTTTCAGTCAACTTTACACGCATGCACGCACACTTTTTAACATTGCTCAGGGATATTTCAGAGTTTCTGATCAGAGTTCTGAGCCTGGCCTCAGACCCTCTCTATCCACATTCATTCTGATCCTCTTGTACCTACTTCTAGTGCTCTGCTGAGGCTCACCACAGCATGATGTTTTTTCCTCAGCAAGCATCATCTCTTCCACCTCAGAATCACTGCTTCTCCCATTTATTTTGCTTAGAAAACTTTTCCCTTTTCTTCTTGCCAGTCCCAGGGACATCCACCTACTAATACATTTTAAGTATTTAATACAAAGACTAATATTCTTAATAAATAAAGATCTTTTGTAAACCAATAATAAAACACCAGGATAAATGAACTAAAAGTGTGAAAAGGCAATTCAGGTAAGAAGAAGATTCATGAGAAAGAGGTAGAGGAGGATAAAGAGAAGGAAGAGAGAGAAGAGGGCAAAATAGCTAGGTAGCATGAAACAACACTCAACAGTAATCAAATAAATACAAATGGGTGCTGAATTTTTATCAAAATTATTTAAATGTTCTCAGTGAGTTTTCAGGACAATAGATGCCAGGCTATTCTACCGGTGACAGCATAAACCTAGGCATTGAGGAGGCCATTTAGTAAATACCCTGTTTCCCCGAAAATAAGACAGTGTCTTATATTAATTTTTGCTCCCAAAGATGCATTAGGTCTTATTTTCAGGGGATGTCTTATTTTTCCATGAAGAAGAATAGGGTATACATTTATTGTTAAATGAAAATAAAGGAAATTTATTACCTGTATACGGTATGGTAGTACGGTAGTTGTCAACACAAACCAGACAAACTGTGAATCTTACAGTATCAAGAATTTACTCATTTATTCAATGACAATCATGTCATCATCTTCTGGAACATCATCATAACAATTCAATTCCTGAATTTCCTGGTGAATTTCTTGTGACTCAATTTCTTTCAGAATCAGTGGACCAAATCTCTCATGTTTAGCCTAGGGGGGCCTTATTTTCAGGGGGATGCCTTATATTTCACTCAGAAGGAAACCTGTAAGTAGGTCTTATTTTCAGAGGATGTCTTATTTTTGGGGAAACACGGTAGTATGCCAGAAAAAAAACCTTTAACATGGGTGTGCCCACTGACACAATGACTGAGAGTTGATCCAAAGGGAATAACTAAGAATGTGCAAAATGATTGGAACCAAGGTGTTCATCACTGTC